GAAAAAAAGAAGAAGTCTGATCGAAGAAAACACAGATCCTAGCCGATTAAAAAATCGTAATTTAGAACTCTTCCTAGATGGAGCAGAAGTAGATTTAAGTGAATGTTGACTTTCTTTGTGTTACGAAACTGACCAATTTACTGATTATTTGATTCTTACTTTTAATACCCAAAGCCTAGTGAACTCAATTAGGCGCACATCTCTTTCAAACTTTGTCTTCACCAGCAACTTTGACATCATCTGATTAAGAAAAACATGGCTCACAATTAATATCAGCGACTCCGAGCTATTTCTCCCCGGCTTCAATATCTTTCGGTCTGACAGAAACACCAAACAAAATTAAAAACAGCCCACGGTGGGGTCCTTATTGCAACAAAGTATGCACTAAAATGCTATGAAATCTTTCCTCCTGACCAATTTCAAGGTTATTGCACCGCTATATTCTGGGAATCTTCCGAAGCCACATTACTAATGCCACACGCTATTTCCCCCCTCCTAACAGCAATTATTATTTGGATCCCTTCCATATTTGTCAGCTAATGGACTTCTTGTCGAACTGCAATGCAAATCATCGTATAATAAACGGAGACTTTAATCGTTCTACAATTGACTGGTCCATTCAAACCTCAGAACCACTCCATCAACGTATACTTGACAAAATAGATGAATTAAGCTTAACTCAAACTGTTCATTCAAAACAACAAACGCTAATATACTTTATTTTTATAATTATGATTATTATTATTATTAAGATTATTATTATTATGTATGCATGTACGTATATATATATATATATATATATATATATATATATATATATGTATGTGTGTATAAATGTATGTATGTGTGCTTTGTTGTAAGTCGCATCGCTAAAGTCAGTTCTTAAGTCACACTGAAGGTCTTTTTGTAAATTGCATCATTGAAGTCATTTGTTATGTCACGCCTTCGGTCTTTTTGTAGGCCGTATCACTAAATTCAATTCTTAAGTCAAGCTGTAGGCTTTCTTGTAAGTCGGATCGCTAAAGTCAGTTCTTGAGTCATGCTGTAGGTCATTTTGTAAATCGCATCGCTGAACTCGTTTGTTATGTCACGCCGTCGGTCTTTTTCTCACGTTTTTGTCACGCCGTCTCCCGCGTAGAATTCAACATAGACAAAATCTTCCTCCCTGGTTAACTCCTGAGACGTCAAATGCAATGAAACGTCTGTCAACATTACGCAAACAAAAAGGTTCGCAATGTGCCTCGGTGATTGCAATGAATGAAAAAGTACAAACCGCCGTAGAGAATAACAAAAGCGAATAGGAACAACATCTGTCTAACTCGCGTGATACTAAAGCCCTGTTTAAATACTATAGAAATTCCCTAACTTAGAACTACCTTCCGTCATGAAACTTGATAATTCAGTTTCGAAAACCTTGCCAGAGCGAGCTAATCTACTCGCAAAGTTTTTTTTAACTCAGCATTTATAATCTCTTCTCAACCAGCCTGTCTTGAAAAACAAGAGCACTCAGTTAAACAAATAAGTCATAATAAAGAACCAGACAGGAATCTGATTGCCAAACTATGTAAGGATCTAGATCTAAGTAAGTCGAGAGGTCCCAATCTGCTACCTCCTGTTTTATTTAAATATTGTTGTGACTCTTTAACGCCCTCCCTCTACCATATCATATATAACGCATTCCAGACCTGTTGTTTCCCTGATCAATGGAAACACTCTATTGTCAGCCCAATTTTCAAAAAGAAAGGAAGCAAGGCCTCGATAAGTAACTACAGGCCAATATCACTAACTTAATATTGCCAGCGAAATCTTCAAAAAAGTTCTTTTCATCGATCTCTATAAACATCTAGAACCTATGTTGCACAACAACCAATTCGGATTTCGCGCGAAAAGGTCAGGGACCATCCAAATGCTGCTCTATCTTGATACCATATATTCAGCTATAAGCAAAAATGAAGAAGTAGACGTAGTATATACCGATTTCGAGAAAACTTTTGATAAAGTAGATCACGGTATTCTGATTGATAAGCTCTACTCGTTGGGAACCAGGGGCAAAATATTAAAACTAGTTTATAACTACCTGAAAAATAGAACACAATATGTCAAAATCAAAGACTGTCTGTCCCAATCATTCTATGTCACAAGCGGTGTTCCTCAAGGATCAATCATCGGGCCATTGTTTTTTCTTGTCATGATTAACGACCTACCAAGTGTATGTAATCATTCCACCAGCTTTCTATACGCAGAAGATGCAAAATTCATACGAATTGATACACTTAACGCAGAATTTCAGAATGACCTAAACAACATCTTCAGGTGGACTCAACAAAACCAGATTGCGTTCTATGCGTCAAATGCACTCACCTACCGGTTAATCGTCACACAAGTAGCGACTTTTACTTCGACTCAATTTTAATTAAGAAAGTCTCAGAAGAAAAAGACCTAGGAATAATTGTAAAATCGGATCTAGGCTAGACATCGCATATTAAACCTAGAAGAGTAAAAGCCCTCAACACTCTCTGCATGCTTAAGCGCAACCCACTGCCTCTTATTACCAAGACCGAACTTTATCTGTTCAAATCCTTGGTAATTCCAGTTTTGTTATACGGTTCAGCGTGCTATCAAATGAAGGTCGAAGAAATGAAACTCTCAGAAGGTGTTCATCGCAATGCATGCAAATGGATTGCAGCAGATTCTAATTACAAAACAACGCTTCAGCGTCTAGGAATACTGCCTTTACCCATGTACATTCAGCTCAAAAATTTACTTCTACTATCTAAAATCCTCAATAATCTCTATGACTACAATTTTTCTGACCGTTTTCTGCCAAAAAATGACCCAGCCAATACTTAATCTTGTTTATTTGAATGTACAGGCCCAGAAAAACTTGTTTGTGAAAAAATTTATTGGTTTCATGCAAAGAGGCTGGCTAATTTTGTTCCTCAAAAAGTTGACTTTACCAACACGATAGGACTCAAACGACGGTTGCTGCAATGGATGTGGGAGCATTTCGAGAAAATACTCCAACATCTGTAGCTGGAAAATTCTGTGCGACTGTACCCGAAACAACTGCAGAAATATGTCTAACTAACTGAACTGAAACTGTGGGGGAAACCCCTTGCGTACGCTAAATTCATATTATTATTATTATTATTATTATTATTATTATTATTTTTATTTCTATGTATATATGTATGTATGTATGTATGCACGTATGTATGTATGTATGTGTGTAGAAATGTATGTATGTATGCTTTGTTGTAAGCCGCATCGGTAAAGTCAGTTCTTGAGTCAAGCTGTAGGTCTATTTGTAAATCGCATCGCTAAAGTCATTTTTTATGTCACGCTGTTGGTCTTTGTGTAAGCCGTATCACTAAATTCAATTCTTAAGTCAAGCTGTAGACTTTGTTGTAAGTCGCATCACTAAAGTCAGTTCTTAAGTCACGCTGAAGGTCTTTTTGTAAATCGCATCGCTGAAGTCATTTGTTATGTCACGCCGTCGGTCTTTTTGTAAGCCGTATCACTAAATTCAGTTCTTAGGTCAAGCTGTAGGCTTTCTTGTAAGTCGCATCGCTAAAATCAGTTCTTAAGTCACGCTGTAGGTCATATTGTAAATCGCATCGCTGAGTTCATTTGTTATGTCACGCCGTCGTTCTTTTTGCGAGCCGTATTACTAAGTTCAGTTCTTGAGTCATACTGTAGGTTTTTTTGTACATCGCATCGCTGAAGTAATTTTTTATGTCACGCCTTCGGTCTTTTTGTAAGCCGTATCACTAAATTCAGTTATTAAGTCAAGCTGTAGGCTTTGTTGTAGGTCGCATCGCTAAAGTCAGTTCTTAAGTCACGCTGTAGGTCATTTTGTAAATCGCATCGCTGAAGTCATTTGTTATGTCAAGCCTTCGGTGTTTTTGTAAGCCGTATCACTAAATTCAGTTCTTAAGTGTCAAGCTGCAGGCTTTCTTGTAATTCGGATCGCTAAAGTCAGTTCTTGAGTCATGCTGTAGATCATTTTGTAAATCGCATCGCTGAACTCGTTTGTTATGTCACGCCGTCGGTCATT